GCTGGTGGCTGCTGATCGTGAAAAGCCCTTGTGCTTATGCAGTGACACCACCTGGGGAGGGGGGTCCCATGTACCCAGATTACAGGACATTCGTTCACACTTGAATAAAACACGTAGACTTGTAACCACACTTCTCACATCAGCAGCCAGATTGCGAGAGTGTGCGGTTGAAAAGTGCCTGCTAAGCGTGGACGGGTTTCTTTCTTAATCCGTTGATCTCCTTAGCGAGATCCAGGGCCTTGCATGGGACAGGAGGGCCGGGCGTGTTGGTGTAGCCAGCTGACAGCCGTCCTGCAGCCGTCCCACCCTGCAAGGCCCCCAGCAGGCGGTACCTGTTGTCCCCATTAAGTCACTTCCAATAATACGCTCCGCTCTAGGCAGAGTATTTATTGTCATTAGTTGTCAAGTCTGGTTGTGTCTGTTTCCGGAGGGCAGGCAGTCCGCGTGAGCCGGGGTGCGAGAGCTCAGGCCTGGTGCTGGCGAGATGGCTGTGCTCGGGCGGCGGCCGCCCCGGTCCAGGGGAGCTCGGAGCGCGCGGTTGGCTTCCGGGAGTGTGGTGAGCTCGCCCCGCAGTCCGGAGTGCAGAGCCGCGGAGTCCGCCGCTGCGTCTTCCCTGCCGCGGTTTCGCAAAGTCCTTTTCATCGCTTCGCTGTGGGGCGTGTTCCGGTTCCAGCGCGGCTCCTGCCCCGTGCCGCCCTGCAGGAGTGATTGTGAGCGCCCCAACGCCGCGGCCACGCCCGTGCGACGCACACGCCTGCGGCACACGAGCCGTTGCCCTGCGTTTCGGTGCCCATCCCTGCGTCTACACGTACGCGCGTGCCCTCCTGGTTCACGGAGCTCGAACCCACGGCCAGAGAGCCACGTCCCAGACGAGAGTGTTCACGCTCCCTCAGGCACTCAGAGTCGCGGGTTTCAGTCTGTTCTCAAGGCCCGGGGTCGGTCTCACTCTGCCGGGGTCTGCCCGGCCCTGGTCGCAAAGGTGCAGAGCTCATCGCGGCCGCGGCGCCCCCTGTCGGCCTCTCGTCCGTGGTGGCCGTGCTACGGTGTCCCTGGTGCTTTTCTCCCGCCGAACGCTGCATGTTCCCCTAGGAGAGAGGAGAAAAGGAACTGGCGTTTCGTGATGCATTTGAACTTGTTCATTCTTGAAAGAGACACTGCGCTGTCTGGTTTGTGGTTCTCGTACAGCTCGTTTTCCAGGGAAGTGCCATTTATGAAGCTGCAGATATGTACTCATTCAGAACCTTTGTTTATTCAATAAAATGAGGAAACATTTACTATGAATTTTTAAATGAGCTTTTTAGCTTTCTTTTCCTCTACTTGCTATGGTTTTGATTTACATAATTAAAGGTTATGTCACGTGTTAAATGAATCCCGAAATAGCTACGTCACTTGTTTTACGTTTTCCCTGACGTCTCTCACTTCATAGGCTTCTGAGCAACAGACAGGCGTGGGGCTGTCCATCGCCTCAGGCGTGGCAGACGCTGCCCACCGGAGGCCGGCGGGGGCGGGGCAGGCGCACCCTGGATGTCGTGTGCTCTGCTGCCCTGGGCTCTGCACTGGGCCTGGGGCGCTGGCCGAGGGCAGCGTGGTTTGCAGCACTGGAGGTGACCCACGTGGCCCCTGGGCTCGCGCTGTGCACAGAACACATGCTGCTGGCTTCTCGATTCCGGAGACGGGGCCATCGTTGCCGTTTCGCCTCATGGCTGGAGCCCAGCCTGCGGAGTAAGCCCCTGACCCAAGGCGCAGCCGCTGCCCAGGTCCCGGACACGGCTGCACTCCGGCTTTGAACTTGGGCTTCCCCCTCGGCCGCATGGGGCATGGACCGTAAGGTGGGTACTGCACCACTGCTCAGCGGCCTGTGAGAAAGGTTTCTCGCCTCCCTCCAGGCTGCTCCCTGGGTTTCAAGGTACCTGGCACCCTGTGTGGCCAGAGGTGGAAGGTGTCTGTGCTCTGTCTCGTACTAGAGCAGGGCCAGGTGGCAGCACCCGTTGACACAAACTCTCCAGAACCCTGGGTTGGTCACCCCCCACGTGGAGGAGAGAGCATTGAGTCACAGGTGTCAGCCCCTTCTGCATGAGGTGGCCTGCCCCCAGTGAGGCCACCAGTGCCCCCCAGGGATGAAGTGGTGCCACAAGCAAGTGGCACCTCAGTGATCAACCCAGATTTCAAGAAACTGCTCAGAAGCTCGTCTCTATTAGACCCACAGGCCGACCAGTCAGGCAGGCAGGCAAAGGCCGTATGAGCTTGACGTTTGACGCACGTTAGATCACATTTCTTTCCCAGTGACTGTCACCTACAGACTGTTTAGTTTATGTGGATCATTTGTTTGAGGGACCTTACCATCATCGCTCCAATAGTTCAGAGGATCCGTAGGTCAACAGCTTCTCAGAATTTTAGGCAAAATGTGTCATTCATTAGAACAGACGCAGGGCTCCCTGGATCCCGACGCGTGCACAGGCTCAGAGGGTCACCCCAGGCAAGTGGCCCAAAGTGTCACCGTGCTGTAGGGTAGGGCGCCTGCCTCTTCTAATAAGAAAGAGTCTTGATTACCTAGAACAAAAGAAAAAACTCTGGAAAATGCCGGGCACCCACTCCAAGCTTCACGGGTGTCCTCTCGTGGAGGCCTCGCAGCCCCACGGGAAGGCCGCCTGCTGCGGTGCAGACGGAGAAGACCAGCAGGGAGCGAGCTCTGCAGGGCAGACAGTGGCAGGCGAGCTGGGGGTCGGGCCCCTCGGTAGCTCCAGCCTTTTGTTTGCGAGCCAGATTTTGTGTGAAGCGACTCATAACCGTCTAGCCCAGAACTGGAGCC